CTACCTTGTTCTTCCTTCCCCTTCTTGTGTATTGCTCTCCCCAACACAAAAACTATGATGTGTCTATCCCCTCACCTGTGCTCTACTATCAGTTTTCACCCACCTCTGGTAGCCAACAAAGAACGTTTTTTCTTTTAGTATGAATATTTTTTATTAAGCCTTTTTGTTTGTTTTATTTATTTTTATAAGTTTTTATTGTGAATTGAGTGATAGTTTACATGGAAGAACATCAGTTTTACACTCATCATTTCATTCATTGCAATGATTACAATCTACTCCGTGCTTTATCATTCAATGGTATTTTCTTCTATTCCCTTGTTTGTTTGTTTGTTTTTTTTTTTGGGGGGGGGTATGTCCACAAAAACACTCAGGAATATATAATCATTTAAACAACCAAAAGGCACCTTCTACAAGCCTACCTCCTAGCCACCAGGACACAGCTTTTCCCTGTCCATGAATCTAGAGTCCTTAGCTACTATATTTCTCCACATCCTCACCTCTGCCTCCATCTCTGGTGTTGCTGGTTCTCTGGATAGGGTTCCATATTCTACTCATGCTCTTCTTTCTTGATGGTCCTAGGGTCCTCTGTTCCTGGACTGTATAACTACTGCCCCCTTTTTGTTACAAAATTTCTACCTTTATAGTTGTGACAATCACAGTTACTCATGATAACAATTACTCACTATTGAATCATAAGAATCTTATCCCCATCTCCTTTCACCAGATCCATCGAGACAAGATGAAAACTATTCAGTGGGGAGTCTACCTTCTCCTGCACACTCTGAAACTAAGTGCCCTCTTGAAAAGTTGTAAGCTAATCACTTTGTGCCTTTATAGGCCCCCTTGCCCCCCATTTTGGGTAACCCATGTCTAAGTTGCCTGTCTCTATTAACCCTGTATACAGAGGGATAGGACTGATCCTTGATGTGAAGACTCCTTCCCTCTCAGTTGGTATTTTGAGCTACTACATCCCTAAGTGATGTCCGATGGATCTTGGCTGAAAGCAGAGAATATCAGAAAGATGTTTACCTATGCTTTATTAACTATGCAAAGGCTTTCGATTGTGTGGATCATGACAAGCTATGGACAACATTGCGAAGTATGAGTATTCCAGAACACTTAGTTGTACTTCTGAGAAATCT